TCACACACCTATACATCACTTATTAGGTAAGGAAGGGAAAGGAAGCGCCCTCTAGAAAGCAGACAAAGAGTTCTCTGTATTATTTTATAAAAAAAAAAACAATAATAACATCCTCGAATCATAATAATCAAGAGAAAAATAATTAATGTACGGAAAATATTTGGCTTCGATTTTGATTCAAAAACGTTAAAAAAAAACTTGCTTTTTTTAATCTTTCTGCGATTATATGAGAAAACACCAAAATTTTAAAATTTAATGGCTTTGACATTTGTAATAAGGATAAAAGTTGTAAGAGTTATCAGTCATAAGAATTATCAGTCATTAGCTAATTTACCGCGATTAGTTTTTCCTTAAGATCAAAAAATCCGAAAATATAAACTATTTAATTACTCCAAAACTAATTCGAAATTAAAATAAAGTGAGACACGTTACAGATTTTTAATCAAATTAGTCCGTGGCTATAACAAATACATAATTTTCTAATAGTTATGGCGAATAAATTACGCGGTGAAAAAAAATCTTCAACTTTGGCATGAAATAACTGAAAAACTAATAACCGCATTATTAATTTGAAATCTGAATTTTCTTTAAACATTTCTCTATAAGTATGGAAATTTTATATTGTATCATTTTATAGTTATTAGTATGAGAGAGAGAGAGAAACTTGCTTTGCAAAAAATTTCAGGAACAGCGGTGACAGCAACAGTGTTTTTTTATTTTATTTTTTCAATATAAAGAGAATCACTACTATCATTGTTATCCTTTGAGAAAAGGCTTTATAAAAATATAGAATACTGCATTTAACTTCTGAAATATTTCATTTTTATTTTAAAATAGGGCGAGAAAAGAACATTTTGAGTTTTTTCAATGTTCCCTTACAGATTTGAAAAATTCAGCTTAATGCACAGAAATTATGAAATAAAAATAATCAAACTTTAGTCTGAAATAATTTAATTGTTTAAATATTATTATTTAAACAATTAAATAATTTCAGACTAACGTTTGATTAAAGAGTTTTAAATATCAAAACCAAATTTTTATTTATAGAAAATATATTAGATACGTCATCAAATTCATTAATTGGATATTCCACTGAGAAAAAAGTATGGTCAAAACTACCAGAAGCTAGTAAAATTTTACGCATTTCAGGCTTTGTGGGAACACCAAAACGCTCTGTTTTACCGAAAGACTTTGGTAAAATTAGCAATGAAATATGATTTATAATATGCGATAAAAAGTAGTAAATGTAGCAATTTTATCATACCTTTAAGCATGCCATAAAAACAATTTATTCGATTAAATTTACTTTCCAGTTTTTTATTTTTTGCTAAATGTGTGGTAATAAGCACCATAATTTTGAAAACCAGAATTTACGGTAAATCGTTAACATACAAACGGAAAAATTACCAAATGAAAGGTTTATATACCGTATATTTTGCTTTCGTTAATTAGAATTATCGTTTGCTTTTTTTTTTGCTAGAAATGTCGTTACCATGCAGTAATATAGTTTTACCAGATTTTTTTTCTCCTTGTAGAGATACACTCTCAGAAAAATCCACTAAATGTTTAGCCATAATATTCTTACCTTGAACCATACTATCGTGCAAATTTACAGCAACCTTAATAAGGTAATAAACTAAACCATTTTCTGTTCAGATTGAACCAATTTATCAATTAATCAAGCTCTAGAAGGGTCATATTACACAATAATATAGTTCAATTTAGTATCACCGCAACAAATTTAAACAATATTATGGTTCAATGGCGTCCAAACTTCTTAACAGCGTTTGACGTTATTATCTTGATTACACAAAAAGTTTAACTTTATAAAATAGAATATAACATATAGTAATTTATCGAAAAAAATTAAACTTAATGTCCAGTTCCCTATTTCTTCCCTAGGGGAAAAACGTACCATCTCGTAGAGTGTTTCTAATTGCTTATGATCACGTAATTTTATTTTATGATATTTTGCCAGGTTACGATTCTTAAAAAATATTTAACTCTTTCTTTAAAATTAATTATTGATGAGCGAAATACGTCAATAATTTAAACTCAAAACTTTAAATATTTTGATGAACGAAATAGCTTGTATGCTTAGTTAAATCCAATCTTAGTTTACATCCAATGGCTGAATAACGGCTGAATAATCCTGTTTAAAATAATGCTAACATAATTTATCTATTATTCCTTAAAGATGTAAGGTTAGTGAAGGATACCTAGAAAGGATTAAAATATCACAATACTAAATCTTATTTTGACTAAATGGCGAAAATTTGGAGCTTGTAACTTAAATTTCCATTAATAAATTTGCTTAAAAGGGTATTAGAACGCTTTATTTCGTAGACCGGCAAATTGAAATTAATATTTTACTTAAATTGTTTCTAAGAGTATCGTTTGTAATAATAAGGATGAAAATGTGAGAAAAATTAATTACTTCTTAATTTTTAGAAGCTTTTTTTTCATTTTTTCATATTTTATTTTAAGAAACATGAATTAATTTTTTTAACACTAATTTATTTGTTGTTGTTTTTATTTATTAAAGAAAATATACGCAACAAATCTTGTTCATTAAGGAAAAGTTTGGTCCTTTTAACTATAATCATTTTGACTTACGTCTTTAAAAATAATTAAAAATATTTTAAACACGTTAAGACCAAAAGTCAGTTAATAAAAATAATATGAAAACTGTAAAAAGAAATTTTATTTACAAAATTGCATTTATGAAATGAGTTTTGCCTTTTAAAAAAAATTCCTCAGATTTAAAATTATGAAGAAATCAATCCAATTGTTCAAAATTTTATTAAAAAAAAAACAACACAAATCCCACTATATTCTAATGATGGAACATTAAAGATATTACATAATGTAACAGTAACATAATGAGGATTATGCTCACAAGAAAAGTGCGTGTTTGTAAAATTCGTATTAAAACGAAATTAACGAGCATGGTTGAAAAACTTGTATAGGTTAATAGTTAGCCGTCACTTCTGCTAGTTTATAAACTATTATTTTTTAATTTAAATAAATTTTTTTAAAAGATCTTACTTTTTATAAACAAAAAATTTTATAATTGTTGATTTTTTTGATTAAAATATATTGATTATTTAAAAATTATCGTAATTTTTTAATGAATTAACTGATTTTTCTAAATTTTGCAATAAATAATTAAAAAATTTAAGTTGTTTCTTAATTTGATTAAGAAAATGTGAACAAAAGTATTTAATTATACTAATCAAAAAAAGAATTAATAAATTGAAAAGAACTATTTATTACTTAACTGGAATCCCTTGTACCACAATCTTTTTTCTATTTCTTTAATTTTCTATTTTAATTTATTTTTTAAACTTTTAAATTTTTTTTTCAATTTTTATTCATAATCGTAATGTATTACCATCTAAATTTGTATTTCCAATGAATGATTTTATTGTCAAGTAATAAATAATCTTCCTATTTTTTTTAATTTTCATTTTCATTTTAAATCTTTTTAAAATTTTTTTACTTGTATTCACAATCGTAATGTATTACCATCTAAATTTATATTTCCAATTAAATGATTTTATTGTCAAGTAATAAATAGTAATAAAAGTAATGAATAAAAAGTTCAACTAATTTTTTTCTTTTTAGCTTTCTTAACAAGTACAATAATATACTTTTGTTTTCATTTCCAGAGTTAAATTTAATAGAAAGTAAATTATTATATTTTATTATTTGTTACAAAATGGAAAAAAACAATAAATTCATGAAGAAATTCTAAAGTACAATTTTTTTAGATAATAAACCATGCATTTTTTAAGAAATAGAAAAATTGAACATTCATAAATTTTTTTTAGAAAATTAAATTTTCAATAAAAAAAATTACTAGATATTAAATTTTTTTATTTTTTTATTAAAATATATATATTATTAAAAGAATTGCAATTTAAAAATTTTTAATGAGCAAACTGAATTTTAATTTTATTTTGGAATAAATAATTTAAGTTTTTATTAAATTTAATTTAAAAATATTAACAAAAATATATTATTATACGTGCTTAAAAAAGATTTAAAAATTAATAAAATGAAATGAACTATTTATTACTTATATAGAATTCCTTTTACATCAATGTTCTTTCTTTTATTTCATTATTTTCTTTATTTAATTGTATTTTAAATCATAATATAACTAAATTTGTATTTTCAATAAAATGAAGAAGTTTCAATGTGAGTTAGAATTCTAGTTAATCTATTTAATTTATTTTTTCTTTCTATCTTTATTTAACTTTAGTATAATGATATACTTTTATTTACATTTTCATAATTAAATTTAGGACAAACTAATATTATTTATTATAAAATGAAGAAATAAAATCAGTGCGCTCATTAAAAAAATTTCAATTACAATTTGTTAAAAAATAATCCATAAATTTAAATTAAGAAATTTAAAAAAAATTGAATATATATTTTTTAAAAAATAAATTAAACTTTTTTAAAAGGCGTATTTAAATTGAAAAATAATTTTTTTATAAATTAAATAAAACACATTAAATAGTTATCAATTTTTTAGAAAATAAAATTTAAGCGTCTCAGTTGAGGTTTGAGCCCCGGACTTCTCTGGTAGATAGCGGGAAACCTAATAATTACACCACAAACACACCGAAGATGAATAGTTTTGTTAGTTTAAATGTAAAAGAATTTAAGTTTTGATGGGGTATATTTTACCTCAGGATCAGAAATGGCTGCTAATTTTTATTCCGTAAAAGTTTTTCAACCTTGGTCTTTAAAAGCTTAATTTCGTTTTAATCGGAATTTTACAAATGCGTATTTTCCTTGTTAGAATTTTTATATAAAAAAAGAAACCATTATAATGCTCTAGTAATTATTTTCATTTAATTTTTAAGAAACTAACATTTTTTGTTTTTGTTTTTAAAACAAAAGAAACAAATTTTTGCCATTTTCTTAAAAATAGAAAGTTTCTTATCTTAGAACTGAAAAGCTAACATGGTTATAATTCTTTTCAGTTCCCCCGGTAAACTGGAATCCGTACCAGAGACGGGGAACGGTAGTACCACACCGCCAAACAACAATCTATTTCCACAACACAGTGGACGACCTGAGGCAGACCTGAGGTATGGATGCTTACGTCATCCCTCCTTTCCCTACCTTCCTCTCACCTTTTATATGTCGTCTCATAGTGTGTAGAAACATTTTAGTCTTAAAAATACATTTTTGAGAAATGAAGAATTGATTAATTGATTTCAGAAGTGTTTTTTTTTTTCATTGTCGTTTATTTTAAATGTATTATTATTTCTAACTCATCAAAAGATCTTTGTTTCTTATAAAAATTAAAATATAACTAAGTAATTGAATTAAGATATAAATTTTGCGGTTCAATTTTAGGGTATTTTTTGTCACATCAAAAATGCTATATATTTTGCGAGCGTAATAAAATGATTTATCGATTATTTTTGCTGTTCACTTCGAATCTTCTTCTAATTATAAAATGTTTTTCTTTCATTTATAAAAGAAAAGAATGAATTCAATGATTTGAAAAATAAGTTTTTCGAATGAAATATAAATGTGAAGCCCTACTATACTTGAATTACAGTTTAAACCAAGTCATAAATGTAAATTAGGAAAAAAATAATTGTTTAACTACTCAAGAGAATCATAAATATTTGAGACATGAAATTTAAACTGTTGAACAAAGTAACTGAATTTTAGAACTAATTTCGTGGCTTAATTCAATTTAATGTTAACATTTTTATTTAAAAAGTCTTAAAATAGAATCGTTTTAAGTTAAAATAGTTCTTATTCTCCAAAAAGCAATTAATCTAAACAAAGGTTCAAAGAAAAATTATTGTCTATTTTTGGATCTAAGTGTTATTACCAATTTTAACGCTATTTAGCTTTACAAAAGTAAAAACAATTCATTTACTAATTTAGTGTATTCAATGAAAAAGTCGGTTACGTAAGGGACGTGAATTTTCTTGCAATTGTTCTTCTGAGAATTTTTATAATGAAAAATATACCTCGAATTTAAAGTACACGATTTTAAAATTGAAATTGATGAACTTTCCAATTTTTCTGGTATTCTTCTTTTACATTAATGTAATTTAAAAAGCATTTTATTAATTTTGGAAATCTAATACTTGAATAGAAATGAAAGAAAGTTTATTCATTTATTAAAAAAATACATAAATGAAAGAAACTATTTATAAACAGAATATTTTTTTTCTAAACGCAGGTGGTTCATGCAAATTTATTTTTTAGCTTCGAAATCAATTTTTAAAAATCTTAGCAACTATTTGACACATATTTCTAAGAAGAAACTATAAGGTTAAAATAAATATTGAAGACAGGATAAATGTTTAAAAAATTTAAATTTTTTAAAATTTTATTTTAATTTTTAACAGAAAGCATAATTACTGTTAAGTTATAGGAAAAAAATGTGCATTTGCATCACGAAATTGATCAAATGATTAAATTTATTCTAATTTATTTTAACCTGCTAGTTGCAGTCGTTGTTTTTGTACAAGCTGTACGAAATGCGCTAGTCATGTTTCAAAACCTTTTCGATTATTCGAAAACGTTTCAGCATGCTTTCAAAAATGTTTCTATGATCTACTATGAAGCTTTGCTTGAAATATTTATTTAGTTTCAACTTGCTGATATATAATGCAAAAATAATCAGAAAAAACTATTTGATAAATAGCTTAACTTAGCTGATGAAAGAATATACTTTCATCTATGGTGCGCAGGTTTATATTCATTTATTGGAAAGACTTATTAATTATATTTGTCCTACACCAGTGTATTTCCGTATAAAAATTCCGTTACTTTGTTTGAGGCAATGTAATTTGAAGAAAAGTGCGGTTGACTCTCAGAGACTAGATTGTAAAAGAATTTGGTGTAAAACAATCACCATTTTTGTTGTTGAGGTAAACTAAATTTTTTATAGTGCAGTTAGTCACATATTTTATTTACTTTTTCACTGTTTTAGTTATATTAATTTATTAATTTTTCATTTTTTGCTTTTTTGTTTACTGGCAATACACATTTTCATGCGCATTTAAATCAACTTATGACTTCATTGCAAAAATATTTTATTTAAAAAACAAACACATTTTTTGGTATTTATTCACTATAATTGCCATTCTGTCATTTTTGTGTAATTTTTTGCACGATAACTACAGTTCTGTTCTGAAAAATGTATTTAGTTTCTTCAACGCAATTGGTGGTACCTCTGCACCAAACCTTTTTTGCAGGATAGGGTTTAAAATTCAGAGGAAGAATAAATAACACACTAACAGGGAATATGAAACAATCAGAAAATTTAAACCCTGATTTTGCTTAACTTACTGAATCCAAATTAATATTTTTGCTTTCCTTAGCCAATTATGAAAATTTCAAAATGCGAGAAAAGATATATATTGATGGCGACATCTGATTTAATTGAAAAAGATAAATAAATTAAGTGTTATTTAAAAGTGGAAATGTTTACCTCTAATTCTTTGTCACTTAATACTCTGAAAAAAAAATATGGTCAAAATTACCAGAATATGGTAAACTTTATCACGTTTCAGGCTCTATGGGAACGCCAAAAAGCTCGGTAATTTTTACTGAAGAGCTTTGGTAATGATTTTGGTAAAATTAACAATAAAAAGGGTTTTTGAATAAATGATAAAATTTAGTAACTTATTATAATACCTTAGAGTATGACATACTTAGAGTATGATAGAGTATTTTGTACTAAATGCGCGGTAATGAAGGCTATAATTCTGAAAACTATAGTTTCCGTTCAACCGTATGAACGGAAAAGTAACGAAATGAATAGTTTAAATACGGTATATTTTGGTTTTAAACCATAATCATGTTTTTTTTTACCAAGAAATACCATTATCATACTGTGCGGTAATAATGCCAAAACCTTTATCTCCGTATATGTACAGGCAATAAGGAACTATTCATAGATGTAATTTTATTGTTATTATAAAATTATATTATTATTATTATTATTATAGTTTTAAGTACTAATATTTTAAGACGAGAAAAAGAAGTAGAGCTGGAAATAACTCATTAGAAAATTATTCTAGTCATAATTTTAAAATATTTTTCTTTTCTCTATTTATAACATTAAACTTTTTATATTTTTCTAAAATATAAAGAACTATTGTGTTATTCCAAAAAACATTCAGAGCATAATTTAAAGAGCAATTTTCTTTCTTATTACTAAAAAACTAAATAACACCACTCTCCACTTTAAATGTACGTACTAAGATCTCCCATAATTGTATTTAATGGCTCTTTTCGAAAATCTTTCGACAAGAAGATAAAGAAACCAGAAGAAGATAAAGGAGATTCTGTTAAAAATTAAACTAAAGAAGAGAATGCCTTAAAGTAAAAAAAGCTTTTATTTTTAACAGATTCTGTTTTTTTGCTGAGAAGAATTATTGAACTCTGAAACGGGAAAATATACTTTAACTATTTCTAAACGGGAAAATATACTTTAACTAATTCTTGAACTTTTATTTTAGAAAATAGCCAAGAGAAGAAACTCACTGAAATCACTAAATAATACTAACTGTTTTCATATCTTTATTAAGCCGAATAATGCAGTATTTGAATAATGTTTCATGGTAAAAAAAAAATCAAAAAAACTTTTTTTTTTTTACAAAACTGTTAACTTTTTTCCAAATTGAACCTGTCCCGCAGTAGACTGATCGTTAAGACACGGTTCCCAGCAGATCAGTGCGTGGTCAGTGTGCGGATGGGTGACCGCTTGGATAAGTCTGCGTAGGGACCGAGGGTGTAGGGTATTGGTCCTCGTTAAACTGTTCCACCGTAAAGTGCTCGACTTCGCGTGCAGGTCGTCGGGCTACCGAAGTGGGGGTGCCATCCCCTCTGCAGAGGATCAAAACTTTGATGGCATGTCTTCGGATCATCCTCAGGGATGTTTCCCAGACAGTCGCCAGTAGCCCATTGTGCAGCTCTAGTGCGACGTTAATGAACTACAATAACAACAAATTGAACTTAACAATGTTAAATAAACACTAGGTCAAGCATCGAAATATTTCATGATCACTAATGAGAAGAGAGTGTGTAATTAAAACTTTTGAAAACAGAGAACTATGGCCAAGTTGGACATAAGACGACGGGCACAGCAAAAATTTCTAAAACATAAAATATTTTCTTAATTTTTCTCTGTTTTCAATCATTTTTAATATATTCTCTGTTTCTTTTGTTTTAATTTTTTTTTTATACTTTCTTCTCGTTAGTGGACACGAAAAATGGCGATGCTTTGCAAAAACCTAGTTTCGCAATTTCCTGTGATAAAAATATAGCTCCAACTCTATTTTAGTTTTTTTTGCTATAAGTATTACGTTTCAATCATAAAAAGTGCTTTTTTGAAATTTTGTCTCGCTAACAGTATCCGTTAGAACTAGACAATTATTTTTAACATTATTCTTGAGCACAAAGATCATTATACCTACATTTTACTCCGTTCACCCGAAAGAAGAAGGATGGCAAAGTTATTTTGCATATACTCTGAATAAAAGTAATTGTGTAATTGGACTATTTTGCTATTCAAAAATAAATGTAACAATTTTTATTCACAAAGTTTCTAAATGGAGAAAAGGAAACTTCTACAATCACAAACTTAAGCGTAATATGATTTTAAAATAAAATACTATTTTAAAAAATAATTTACGAAATATAACAAACAGGAAATATCTATCTTAACATCTCTAATAATCTGACATTAAAATTGAACAAATTTAAATGTAATAAAAATATTTTTGATCAGTTACATTATATCACTTTTTAATGTCATAACAATAGCTTGATTGCATATGAAATGTTCAGACAGCCAAAGAATTGTTAATTTTATTCCTAATTCTCCCTCAAAGAGTTATAAATAATCTTTTAATTAAAAGACAAGTTTTCATTTGTACTCAAATCATTACCTTTTCAAGGTACTTTTGATCTACACCGAATAATCATGGATGTTCCTTACTCTGTTTGTTAACTTGTGAAAAATAATTAGTCATTTGTTAATTAGTCAATAATTTGAAAAATTCTGACAGAATTTTAGTTTCTGCTTCTTTATGACAAGCATTATTAATAA